GTAGATAGATAGATAGATAGATAGATAGATAGAGAGAGAGAGAGAGAGAGAGCGAGCATCCGTTTTTGTTCTGGTTGTTTCTTTCCCCGAAAATATGAGATTGTGTGTCTAGTTGCATTTTAATAAAATATGTGAAAAATCCAGACGTGTGCACTGCTGCGATGATTTACTCACTGCGAAACAATCTTCTGTCATGAGACCCTAATCAGGGTTATTCCGTTCAATCGAGCTGTTAAAACTGTAAATGTACGTGTTTTTACGCCCTCATACACATAATTTTAATAATTTAGGAGGCAGGGTTCCGAGCCTGAGCTGAGAGGGATACAACATTCCAGCAGCAACGGGCCACCTGTTTAAGACAATCACCTGCACAAAAGGCCATCCCAACCCCCACCCCAGTCCCCCGTGTATTATCTTTTCACAATAAATCACGCTGGGGTAGAGGTGCACGTATCTAATACTATAATAGTCAATTTTCTCCCAGTCAACGGGTGTCCGTCTTAGGCTAGGCGCGCACAGGACGACTTTAGTTGCGCAACTGTTTTCTCACCCAAATTAGGCGAACAATGAAAACGAGTAGTCTGTGCGCGCTTGCTTATCTCTTTCATTGTTTATGTGGGCGAGAAAACAGTGGCGCAACTAAATTTGCTCTGTGGGCGCCTGGCCTTATACTTAGACTGATATCCAGTAGTTTTCGCCTACTGTGTGTACTCACGTTCTTTGCCGGGCTCCCCGGTGCCGGCGGCCGCCCTCAGCTGCTGCTCCATCTCTCGCCTGATGTCCTCCTCGCTGATCTGGGACTCGCCGAAGGCGTCACTCACAAACTCGTCCTGGGTGGGCGGGCTACCCACCAGGGCTTCTTCCTCCTTCGCCTTCTGTTCCTCCTTGTCTGCCGGGGTCGACTCTGTTGTGGATAGGAAGGTTTTTAAAATGTTATAGTAGAGGTTTTACGGCCCTCGCAACTGAATAAGGTTATAATAATGAGCACCAGAAGATTAGAGGTGTTACAAGAAAGTAACAAACAAACAAAAAGAAAAAAAAAAGAAGAAAGGGAGATAAGGGTGATAGATGTTTCATAGGAAAGAAGAAGCAAACTACACCAGAGCACCCGCCAACCACTCACAGAGGAAGTTTTAGTTGTGTTTTAAAAATTTTGGTAAGAGTTTTACGACCCTTGCAACACAATAAGGTCATATACGTGCTGTTTTTGTTTTAGTAAGAGTTTTACGGCACTTGCAACACAATAAGACAATAAGGTCATATACGTGCTGTTTTTGTTTTAGTAACAGTTTTACGGCACTTGCAACACAATAAGGTCATATACGTGCTGTTTTTGTTTTAGTAAGAGTTTTACGGCACTTGCAACACAATACGGTCATATACGTGCTGTTTTTGTTTTAGTAAGAGTTTTACGGCACTT